GGACCACAGTTTAGACTGACATCCACAGATTTCACCACATTTCTCTCACAACTGACTGACTTTCATCTGGGATGACCAAAACCACACCGTGTATAGGGTCCTTTAAGATCTACCCTAAAAATGTCTGTCCTGGTATGATGGACACACTGGATAATAATGTTCACACATGTAAAACAGATTGCAAAAGGAATGCAGGACATGAACATCTCAAACCATGATAAACTGTTCTTGAAAACTGCCCGATTCATTTAGCTCACTTTGTGAACTTCTGCACACAGAAATCCTTTCAAGAGACATTTAAAAAATGCAAACAACATGCTCATCATCGGCCTGTGCTATCTGCCATTATTAGTCCCAAAAGACATCAAGGGAACAGGGGCAAAAGATGGACCTCAGCGTTGGCTGAGTGAATTTCCAAGCCCAGCAGAATCGACTTAATTGTTACGGAAGCAAAAAAGACACACACTGTTAGTAACTGAGTTTTAATAGCTACAAAATATTTGATAATAAAATTTAGACAGCACGGAATTCATAGAAATTAAGATATATTAAATCTTAATTATGTTATTTACATGTTATCATATATTTCTTGATTTGCAATTTCAAAAGCTGAATTTGAAATTTATTTGCAATGTTCACAAATCTGGATTGAAAAATATGAAATTTCAGAATTAGAAACAACAGATTCAGGTNTCACAAGTTACATATGTTCAGAAGAGTTACAAAAAATAGATTCAGGTTGCTCAAATTCAACTAGTCAAATTCAGGTTGTAAAAAAATTGAAATAGCAACATCTAAGTTACCCAGGAAAGGATAGACATTTGAGCCTGAATGTTTTGATTAATCGACATTCTATCCAAATTTTTTTCAACTTCAATTCTTAGATCTAAATTTGGGCAATGTAAGCTGAACTTTTTTGAAAATTCTGAAACTTGAATTTTTGGTTCTGAATTTGTGAACATTGAAAAAAGTATTCATATTCAGCTTCTGAAATTGCAAATAAAAAAACAGTTTAATTTCTAGGAAGGTGAATTCCAAACAGAAAATTCAGATACATGGTTTCAAAGGAAATATTTCAATGCTATGAATTAAGTGGTGCTTAAATTTTAATTATTCAGTGGCTGTTAAAATTCAAATACTTTTGTTTCTTATTTGCTTCCACAATTGACAAAGAAAAGACAAAAAAACAACAACACACAAACAAGAACAAATAAGCAAACAAAACAAACTGAACAAACAAACAAAAACATCCAGTTGGCCCTCTATTATGGCAGTTGGAAAATGTTTGAATAGTAATCAGGACGGGATTTTCTTGGACAGATGTCTGGCAGGATGTATTTGGCAAGACAGAAATATTCCTACAGTTTAAGTGCCTGTGAGGCAACAGTCCTCTGTGACAGCTCACTTTTGCTCAAGCTGCATTACTGACAAAATAAAATACATTCACATAAAACCTTAACATTACTCTGATCTCAGCTGCATTTGCAATAATAAAGGGAATCTGATTTTGATACATGGAGCTGTGGCTGGAGTTTATATTGTAAAATGGAGTATTAGAGCCATTGTTAGAACACTATTTTGAAATTTTGAGAATAAAGTCACAGTATTTGAAGAGGGGGTCCTCACACTATCAAAATAAAGATGTAATTTTACTAGAAAAGGACACAATCTTATTGGAGCAAAGTCCTAATTCCTAGGAAAATACTTGAAATGAGAATAAATTTGTTGTGAAATAAACGTATTAGGCTTGGGTGGTATCAGGGTATTTAGACATTCCAAAGGTATGACTTTCAATACCTTCAAAAATGCAGATGCTCCCCTTTCTACTAAACTACTACAGTGATGCTGTAGTGAAGGGAATGATTGGACTACACAGTATGTACCACAAGAGGTCAGTCTCTACCAGTGGATCTGACAGCTAAGCTGAGAAAGATGGCAATTGCAAGTGGCGGGGATAACGTTACAGGATGAGTAAAAAAGAAAAATGCTTCTGCTCCTGTTTGGGAGTATTACCAAATGTATCTTTATCTTGTTTTTCCAACTACAAAAGCAGTTTCTTAACCGCAAGATTTTATCCAACACATCATCTGCGTTGACACCAATAATGTGTCGGTATCTGCTATGGCAATAAGTATCATTGGGTCCTCCAGCAAGAAGGACGCTTATTTCCTATCTATTCATTATTCTATGGGTTATAACTATTTAAACCCATCAAAACCTGTCTCAGTAGGGTAATCACATATTAATTAACACAGCATTGTAGGCTAGCTCAGACAATGACCTCTATCACCACTAGCTTAGCTTTCACATTTTCTTCATTAACACAAGTACCATCATATACCGTATATCCAGATAAAGTGTCAAGGATGGTATGAAGGTATGAAAAAATAGATACTGCCCAAGCCTAAAATGTATATTTCATTACTCAGTCGTAGTAAACAGAGAACAGTCTGTCCACCTCTATTTTAAAACACCAGAGCTGTATACTGTACTGTACTGTACATTGTATACTCGTAGGGAAATGAATGTAGTCAAAACACAAAGGAAAAATAGTAACTTTATATGTGTGTCTGTATAACTGTACAATAATACAATTTATTTTTGCAATATTGTGACTATTTCTCATGAAGTTAAAAAAGTGATTTTTGTCTCAAAATATTCAGACTTCATTCTTTGTTTAAGAGTTCTTTCAGTACAAACTTAACCGTAGTGTGTAGAGGCCGAAAGCAAGAGATTGCTATTATCTGTAGGCTTTTTTAAAAATCAAATATATTATGATACTCTACTCCTTCTATACAGATTTATTTTATTATAAATAATTAGTTAGTAATTTCATGGGTTAGATAAATGACGTCTGTGTGGACTATTTACAGTAAGGAATTTGGATTTCAGTGAGACTCATTGCTTTAATATCAGGCTGCTGTATTTCCAGTTCAGTGTTGAGGTGATGATTAGACGGGGACTCTGATCCTGAACCAATCATATTTCTCTTTAGCGCTAAAGTAATTCTATGTGTTACTGGCTCCTCCTCCGCTCTAATCCAACAAGACCCCCCGAATAGATCGGTGTAAAAACACAGAGCTGGGCTGAATGTCACTCTGAAAACTCTTGTCCAGCCTACCTTTAAAGGAAAAATCCACCCTAAAACACTTCAATCAGTCGTTTGACTCCTGTTATACCTGTGAATACAGGGCCAGTCAGAGATGATATGACCAGAGGTGAGTAGTTACATTTACTCCATTACCCATTTGAGAGATACAGACCAGGAATATTGTCCTGGTGTATGTGGCAGGTTATCTAATCAGGAGATGATGAATTGTCATTTCATCATAAATCAATATAGTTGTTAGTCCACTTTTTCACTTTTACCTGAGGAAGACCATCTGTGGTTAAAATATTTCCAGTCAAATCCACAACAAATGAAAGACTACCGGAAAAAGACAGTAATGTGCCGAGGTTTTTCCTTTTTTAAATTTTTTTAAAGAAATACTTCACCCACAAAATGACTATTATATTAATTACTCACGGTGTGTTGCCTTAAAATCAATAAGAAAACTGTTTTTCTCGCATGCTTCAATGGTGAACGGAGAATAAAAAAAAAAAAAACATTCTTCATGAACTGAAGTCATTGGTTCCACATTTAACTACATCAAAACATCCTTTTACAAACTCTCACACAACTCACGCAGTATAATGCAAGTCACATTTATCCATTCCCAAACACATGCATTTTTACTAAAAATTATGATTTAAAAAAACATTAGTACTATGGCTGGGGGATATGGCCTACAAATAATATTGCAATATTTTTAGGCTTTATTGCGATATAAACACACACACACACACACACACACACACATATCTATATCTATATTTTTTTTTTTACCTTTTTTCAAATCCCCTCTAATCTACTGTACTCTGAAGTTAATTAAAGTAGCTACTGTTACAATAAAGTGAAATAAGGTACTATTATAATAACATTAAATAAAGTATTCTTATAATTTAATAAATCAAAGGAGAACCACTGGTGCTTTTATTTTGAAACACCTGACTCATCTTGAGCCAAAGTGTTGATGTTTTGGTTGTGAACTTGAAGCTTCTGGTCAAGAGTTATTGTTAAAAGTTAGAAGAAAGTTAAACCATTAACGTGGTGCCATTAAACACGAGGATTTGTTCACTGCGAGTTGGAAACAAACAAACTGCTCTCCAGTTCATACAGTGATACATTTTGCAAGTCGCACTGGTGCTCCATGGTTGTAAAATGTGACTTAACAATCGTGGCCTGGAGCCCTGCAGATACAAAAATACACACCTTGCCTGCTAACACACTATCATTAAATTTGTTAGAAGTTAAACTGTTACCTCAGTGCCATTAAACATAAGCGGAACACAAACTAACAGCTCTTGAGTTCATATATTAATAATATCTGCAAGTTACCCTGGTGCTCCAAGGTCACAAAACATGACTAAATAGTCTGGAGACCTGCAGATACAAAAATACATGCCTTGCCTGCTCACACACTATCCCTGCCGGAAATGGGTCTGGGTGGGCAAAACATGACAAAACATGTTTGTGAGCCTTTAGTTTTCTTTTTTTGGAAGCGAGTGTCATGCCAATGGCTTAAAAAAATGACAAGAAATTTATACCCAATGTTCACAATATGGTCACTGTCTACATCCCACGTGGAACAAGCAGAGATACAACGACTATAATTAATACATCGCCCACCACCTACGTCAATACAGATAGTCTCATGCACGGCAAAGTAGCGTGCCTGGGCACGCACATATGTTTAAACTTTGCTCAAGCGGATTTCATAAGCACGTGCATGCTTAGGCACGCTCAGAGCCCACTACTCATAGGTGAAAGTGTATGATATTGTAACATTTTAGTGAAAATGCATGTGTTTAGGATGTACTGAGCATACAACTGGATAAATGAGTATGGGATTATATGGGTTGTGTGAGAGTTTATACACAAATGTTGTGATACAGTTTTGCTGTTGTTAAACGTGATCCCCAGTGACTTCAATTCATGAAGAATGTTCACCTTTTTTAGATTCTCCATTCACAGAGGAGGCATGAGATAAAAATACAGTTGTCTTCAGGAATTCAACGTAACATGCGGTGAGTAATTGCTATACAAATGGTCACATGGTGGGTGAAGTGCTCCTTTAAGTTGCTCACTACTCAAGTCGTTTTTTCAGTAAGTACTTTAATACTCTAACTCAAATAGTCATTTAAATGACTACTTTTACTTCTACTTGAGTCCTTGTTGTTGCAACGTAACAGTACTTTTACTCAATTACAGTTTTTGGTTCCTCTACCCACCTCTGGACATGATCTGTCAAGATATTTTGAGTGCAGCTACAGAGGAGTTTGATAGCAGAACATTTTTCATAAATGTACAGAAAAAAATGATACCATGAGAATTCAGCACATAAGAGGCAAGGCAGATGTGCTTATTTTTTTCCCCCAGACATATGTTTTATGTATACCAGTACACTGTGGAATGAGAGCAACCCTCTCATGTCCAGTGTTGGAGTGGTCAAAAGGCAATTCTGAAAATTGTTGGAAAACATATTTATCAGACTGCTGCAGCAACAGGCATTATATTAGAACACTATCACTAAATAACTAGAATGCACTGAACTGAGCATCACAGTAAAAGAATCCAGGGTGGACTTTGCCATTAACTGTGACAGAGACAAACAGCCCAGTCTAGCTCTCAATCGGTTTCCCTTCAAAATTGGAAAAGTTAGATTCTTAATGTAATAACACCTTTCTTTTTAACATCTGTTAGACTGGTACCATTTGGAGGACGGTTGGAGGACACCTGTAGAGAGAGTCATCCTATCTCTCACTCTGCTCCACCTCTGGGCCTTCAGGCTGCCTCTCCTCTGACGCCACTTCATCCTCGACCTGTGAGTGCTCCTGCACAGAGGATTCCTGGATTTTCTCTGGTGTGACATCACAAGCAGTGTGAGAGTCCTCTTTAGGTACGGGTGGAGAGGTGGGTGGGTGGATGCTACCACTTTGAGTGCTGCTCCCGTCCCTGGTTGTCTCCTCAGCTTGTCCAATGGAGCTGGTTTCACTAAAAGAGTCAGAGCCCACCCCTGAACGACGGAATAACCTCTGACCTGAGAGGATAACATCAAAACGGGAAGTACACAAGGTGAGTGTGATGTCATTTTCCACAGATACCCAAAATTCTACAAGTGTCACTGGTAACAAAGACCTTGAACTGTGCAGAAAAAAACGACTATCCTCCATGCTCTCCAAAGATACAAATTACACTAAATTGTCAAATTGTATAACAATGCCTGACGAAGACCTCGGTTAAATTGAAATGTTGCACAGTTCAAATTCCTGGGAGCTTTTAATACAGTTTGCAGATCTAGTATCTGATTCCTGACTTATTTTGACATGTTGATCCAGCACCTGTACAAGTTTTTTGGGATCTGCATACCCTATATCCTGTCTGTCTTCAAAGAAAATCGGACATCAACCTGCATCTGTCAAACATTAACAAAGTAACTAGAAGCAGTAGTGGGGGAAAACATTTCTGAAGACAGAAATGGACAAGAAGCTAGAATAACTGCCTTGCGGTTGTATGCCTTCACAAACCAGTCAAGTTGCAATTACAGTTTACATCCATGTCTGTCCAGACTCATATGTAGCCATGACGGTAGATAATGCTTCATCTATGGATGTTGCTGCAAAAACACTACATATTCTAAAACATACATGCTTTACACACATCTTCAACCCGCAGCACAAAAGACTAGATTAGTGTCACCAATTCAGTGTCTGACCAAATGTCCTCCCTTCTTTTCCTGAGAAATGACGTTGAATAATAGCCAGTGAAGTGTTTTTGTCAAACATTATGATGTCACAGTGAAGTTGACCTTTGACCTTTTGAATATAAAACGTCATCACATAATTGGTGTATGAATATTTGAGCTATGACCAAGAACATATTTTGTAACGTTACAGTGACATTTGACCACCGCATTCTAATCAGTTCATCTTTAAGTCCAAGTGGACATTTGTGCACAGTATAAAGAAATACCCTCAGCACGTTCTTGAGATGTCACATCACAAGAATGGGACGGACGGACAGATAGACAGACAAACAACCAGAAAACATAATACCCCCTCTTTTCGGCACATAAATCCTGGAAAGCTATCTGCCACACTGGCAGGTAAATGTTTGTACCAAAGTGGTCATGTAATAAAAAAAACTATGCTGAGAGTTAGTGTTTTGGTGTAACTTGCAGGCGCAATACTCTGCTGTCATTGTCAGATTTTGACATACACGTACAATGTAGATGTGTTTTTTTTTTCCCAAATATTTGGGTACAGCCCTAATATCTAGATATTTTTGACCAAATACCTTGATACTGATATTGCAGCAATATTGTAGCTTGACTATTGGTGCTTTCACAAAATACTTAGACAATGAGATTTTTGATAAAGAATTAGTAATCATCAGTAATGTGTATATCATGACTAAGTGGGTAAAGACAAATATTTAGAACAGCTAGCACACTTTATTGTAATGCAGGCTTTAAGACCAGGAAAAGACAACACTTAGACATTACAATATCAAAAATCTAAGACTATATCTATTCATATATCATGGTATCAATAAATGATAAAACCATTTAATAACAGGATAACTGATGGACTTTTAATTTAAAATATGAAAGAGAAAAAGCTCAGTCTCACTGAGGGCAGCTTAACGTGTCATTTATCAGCTGGCTGGCCCAACAGACCTATCAGATTCTGATAGGTCTGTTGGGCCAGCCAGCTGATAAATGACACGTCAGTAACACGTCGGATGACACTTATGAGGAAGACAGGAGTCACAGTCGAAACTGTCAAGCAAGTAAAAGAAACATCTCCTACACTTTTTTGTCTGAAGATAAGAAAATATTGAACAATTCTAAAAAGAAGACAAAATGAACCTAATCAATCTACCTTAACAGTGGTATAAAAAAAGACAGTCCTACCTGGTAATTTCTTTGATGAGGAGGTGGGAGTTTCTTGTAGGTTGGGCCTGCCTGCCTGAGCCTTGGTGGAGTATGTGGTCTCTGTGGAGTCCAGGGAACCTATGGAGACACACACCATTAAAATGCATATGTATGTTACACACACACATACTGACAAAGATTGCCATAGTTTGATATTAACTTTTTATAAGAGCTTATCTGCATAATACACAGTGATATGGTTAGTATTATGGTTATGGAGCAACACATATCAAACAAAATGACAACTAGAAAAGTGCACTCAGTAGAGTGTGGATGTCTGCCGGGTGTGTCTGGGGTCATGTGTGCGGGGTACAGAGAGCGCAGGGCAGGCTGTGTGTCCAGAGTGTATGCATGACAGTAGTGGAATGAATCTCACTCAGCTGTCCTTCCCGGCTCTCCTACAGTTAAGATGGTGGTGAAGATAACAAAAACACGGACTCATTCAACTGATATTGTGCCTAACTTTAGTGGATTACACATGACAAGTATGGAATTAATCTGCAGATGCTCAGGTTCAAATTGAGACCAAACTTTTCTATGGATTTCAGTTTTGGACAAGACAAGACAAGGCTTGTTTTTAGCCTAGATGATAGCTGGAAATGCCTTCATCTACATGATTTTGCTGACAACTTGCAGCCGTGCCACCGGTTAAGAGGAGTGAGGAGTCAGCAGACTATGATGGTATAAAACATTATACATAACAGCTTTTTCATAAACTGTAAATTACTGCAACGATGAGAGGTCCTTGAGCATACAGTCATAAATGTTCTGACTGACTGGTCCAGTAGTTTGCAAGACTAGCTTAGTACTGACAGATACACCTGTATGCACGCACACAACCAAACACATGATAACCTCCAGGCTTACTCCTGGCGGATATAATGAACATTCAGTTTGTCTTAAAAGGTGGTATCTTTTACATCACATGCATATTTTAGAGTTGTATCTCAACATAAGCTCTTTACAACTGTCCACTCATGACTGTGGGACACTTCCACACAAGCCAACAACAAAGCAGTCATGTTAAATGAAGTCTGAAAAACTATAAGAAGGGCTGGGCGATATGGCTTTAAAATAATATCATGATATTTTTAGGCCATATCGCAATACACAATATATACCTTGACATATATATACCGCAATGGTGTCACTTTGGCGTTTGAGTGTGCCTGCTGCATGTCTACATTTACAACAATGAATTTCAGGGCATAAAAAATGTGGCATGTGTACGGCCCCTGGAAACACACAAACAGCTCTCCAGTTCATATATGAATAGTATGTGCAAGTGGCAGTGGTGCTCCATGGTTGCAAAATTCAACTAAATAGTAGCGGTCCAGACCCCTGCAGACACAACACATGCTTTGCCTGCTCACAACTATCACTCAATAGAATGTGATCTGGATGGATGGAGGCGCGTGTGTAAATGGACTGCACTTGTGTAGCGCCTTTCTAGTCTTATGACCACTCAAAGTGCTTTTTACACTGCATGTCAGATTCACCCATTCACACGCACAGTAAAACACTGGTGGCCGAGGCTACCATACATGATGCCACCTGCTACTCAGTAACCATTCACACACACACACACACACACACACACACTGATGGAACAGCCATCAGGACCAATTTGGGGTTCAGTATCTTGCCCAAGGATACTCCGACATGTGGGCTGAAGGACCCAAGGATCAAAATCCTGATCTTCTGACTGGTGGATGACCCACTCTACCTTTGACATGATCTATGTATCATGTTTGTGAGTCTTTCATTGTGTGTGTGTCTGAGAGAGAGACAGCCACAGGAAGAGAGTCCCGTGGCTAAAAAAAAAAAGACGGGACAACAAGCTGCCATACATCAAGTATATTTGATAAATCGGCCACCCTTAACTGCAAAGATATTTATGTGACATTGGACCTTGCGTTTTGGACCACCACAAAGCTTCCTTCAGGTTTTGTTGTGCTTCAAGTTCAACAAAGGGGTTGAGAAGTTACACCTGATGTTACACAGTGACTTCAAAGTGTCATCTATAATTGACACCATACAATGACACAGTGTACCTGCAGCCAAGTTGAAGGTCCTCCCCTTTATGGAGCTTTCAAATGGAGAGAACCAGTTTAAGACAGAGCCAACCAGAGGAATCTGTCGCAGCATCCCCTATAGGACAGAGACAAAGGAAGTCAAATGTGAACAGACTGGATTTGTATACTCACATATAAACCTTCACATACACACACACCCAAACCCACACTAACACTCAATGAAACAAGAAAGCAAAAGGACATGTTAGTCCTTACTTACCCTACACCTAATTTTACCCATTATCCAACTGTAAATCCTTACCTCACACAGCCTTTGATCCTGAATTCTAATCTCCACCCTAATCCTAAATGCAGAGCCTCAACAATGATTCGTTTAAGGAGTGAATATAAGCTTCGTCATTTTAAAAGTACACAATTCTAAATGAATTCTAGCAAAACATAAGACACACTCAAGGGCACTCACACACCTCTTCCATGAGTTTCTCCTCATTGGCCTTCTGCAGCTGCAGCTCTGCCTCCAGGATGCCTTTCCTCACCACCTCTGTCATGTTCTCCAATAGCTACACAAGAAAGAGTCACTGCCACTTACACAGTAAACATACTGTATATCACATTGATTACACATTCTTAAAAACAAAACATAATTGTGAAACAACTGAAGCTGAGTGGTTATTCCACTTTAACAATTTGGGACATAACTGAAAGGGCGCCTTTTGATACACTGACAAATTATCAATCTGTTATCATTTAATACATTCTAGGTTATTATGTATTTCTTCCTGCACTGTTGTTGTTTTTAAAGAAGCCCTCTATCATTCATTTTTGATGTAGTTAATGCTAAAATCTCACATCTCCTGCTATGAAACTGCTTTGTACCTCTGCTGTAAGGCATGGTGTCATGTCATCTACATGTTCATCAAAAAGATGATGAGTCACTGCTGGTTGCAGATGTTGAGACACACAGTGATTAATAGATGAAATGTGAGTTGTGATGTGAGTACCATGCTGAGATAAGCCCAAGCAGCAAACCTCTGAGACTGAAGAATGAAGCCAACGAATTGCAAAAAACTGTAGTTCCTTTAATGCCCATTTGAGGCTGGCTCCAAGAGCGTGTCAATCCCCATAGACCCTCATGTTAAATGCCCAACTTTACAGCAGAAATAAACATGTTTACAGCCTGGTACAAAAAACAGTTTTGGTCTCTTAAGTAGGCTTGGATATGATTTTCAATACTGCTAAAAATACAGACGCTACTCTTTCTATGAAGCTCATATGGAAAGGCTGTATTGAGCGTGTCCTCTTTTGTAACTACTGTTGTACAATAAAGTTAGATAAACTACTGTTACAATAAAGTTTAAGTATTGTCACAATAAAACAAAATAAAGTAATTTCGAATAAAAATAAATACAGTACTGTTAAAACGAAATACAGTACTGTTGTAATAAAGTATAATAAGAGTTATAATGGAATAGATCAAAGTGGAACCACTGGTGCTTTTATTCTGAAGCACCCTGCTCGTCTTGGGTTGGACGTATTGATGTTTTTGCTGTGAACTTGAAGCTTAGTTATTAGCATTTAGCAGAAATTTAAACCGTTACAGCTACACCGCTAAACATGAGGACTGATCGACTGTAATCAGAAACAAACTAACAGGTCTCCAGTTCATATATTAATAGCATTTGCAAGTCGCAGTGTTGCTCTATGGTTGCAAAATGTGACTAAATGGTTGGGGTCTGGAGCCCTGCCCCCCACCTCACCTGCTCACTTCAGCACCCAGTAGAGAGTGGTCTTAATGGGCAGGGAGTGCACTGGACATATCTTACTCGTGAGACTTTTTTCTTTCTTTCTTTTGTGTCTGTTAGAGGGAGAGGGCCATAAAAAAGAGCATAAGAACCAAAATGCTGTCTCATGCAAGTTGCTTAAGAAATGAAGTGAAAATTTCTACTCAGTGTTCGCAGTATACTATATACTTTTTTTTCTACATCCTGCATGGAAAAAGCCATGATACATTGAGTATAATCGATAAATCGCCCACCCCTATGTACCACCTGAGGTCAGTCTCTACTGGTGGATTTCTTTATATGACCATCTGCTCTGGGAAACATGCAAACTGTGTTGCCAATGTTGTAAATTTCTCCCTGAATTCAGATCAGATTCCTGCTTGAACATGTCCAGTTGTGTTTAGAAGCTGTTATTTGTGATGTTTCATTCTTGTTACAGTCATTCCCCAGCTGCTACGATGGTGCAGAGACGCCGAGATGCAGCAACCTGGTCATGCTGACCAAATAATAGAACACTGGGGTTTTTTGGAGGGGGCTAAACAGGTGCTAAACGGAGCCTGTTTAGACAGAGGGTGAATACAGGTGTTCCAGCACAAACCGTGTGAGGAACATAATGTGTTTTTTATCCTTAAAGCCTATAAACATGTTCTAGTAGAAACCTTAAATACACTGAAAAATACTGAGCATAATCAGTCCTCTTAAAAGATGGAGTAAGATTACACAATGTCCCTCAGTGATTATGATCATTCCTCTTACAAATAAGTACCGTTCCTGCTTTGTTAGTACTGGGTGAGAGGCTTCATTTAATCTTTGATTTGACTTTTTGTAATTATCTAACGGCCTTCAAGTATATTATAAAAAAATATAGCTGTTACCCTTCCGCTCTCCTCTATGTCCCTCCCGAGGGCCGCAACAGTATCCACCAACTCTGTGACATCAACGTCCTCTGTGACCATGCCAACAAAAATACAGTCCTCCTCTGTCCCAAACTCAGGGCCTGTGGAGACAAAACAAAACAGTGTGATAAATACTGAGATATATTTCTTACAGGCCTCTCAGATGTTTGTGAAGAGGTACTAACCAGTGGAGAAAATGATGTCAGTATCCAGGTCTTGTAGTTTCTTCAGCAGCTCAGTGTTGATTTTCTCCAACTCCTGCTTCCTCCTGCTCTCATCCATTCCTTCAGCCTGAGGCTCGTACCTGAACATCAACACATCCGTCACAGTCCTACCGAGCACCACAGCAAATCCCACCATTGTTAAAAGGACATTAAGTATAAGTGGAATTTGTAACACTGCTGGTTTTATCTGTCTGTTAAAGAGATGCTTTTCATCTCATTTAGACAGAGGTGTCTGCCACACAATTGTTGCTTGTGGCTTTATTCAGACATGGCAAGACTGACCATTATATTTGCACTATATTTCTGGTACACAGAAGGAGAACTACTTCAGAAATTTTTGTAGAAAGCAATGAAAGCATCTAGTCCATTTATCAACCACACTTTGACTAATAGGTCCTCACCTAACTAGCATCTGAATTATCACTGTAACCAACCAAACCCCACTCATTGCCTGTTCCAAGGGTACAAACTACAGGGGAGCAAGGGGGAGCTTGGCTCCTCCTAATAAGACATGAGTTCCACTATAAACATGATTTGTGAAATTTTGGGGGTTATTGACAATATGCTGTTTTTGCTATGAACTTCAGTTTTTCTGTATCTTCATCATTGAGGATCATACGTAAAATCAGGCCACTATTGATGTATGATGGGTTGATGAGTATGATCGGGAAATTATTGTGCTCATCTGTATGAGATGGGTAATTTAATAAACGTTGATGAGGACTGGACCACATGTAGGCAGCGGGGCATGCTCTGTTTTTGATTTAATGCTCATGCTTTGTGGCTGTTTTGCTATTTCACCAAATTGTATCTAATTTGTGGTGATAAACTATAGAAAACAGCCCATCAATCTGCAGAGTACACTGTGCCCTGCTTTAGTTTGCCACATTGTATCATAATGTGATGTTTGGTTTTGACACCCATGCTGAGGTTTGTCTGAATGTCTGAATGATAATTACATGCTGTACATTTAGCAAGTAGGCCTACATGCTTGCAGCTACAAAATAATTCTTTGCAACAAGTGTCAATCGATACAGTATTATATCACAATATTTTACTTGGCAATATGGTGTTGATACATGGAAGGCAGGAATCAATATTTTATTACATAAATTACTGATGTTGCAAATACAAATTAAACTTTTGTTAGCCTACTAGAATGATAAAATCAATTCGTTTTTTTTTTTTTCAATTTACTAGATACATTTTGCTTCAATGAAAATGACTGAAATGAGGTGAACAACTTTATAAGATGATAACAGATGTTGATAAAGTTTTTTCTTATTTTGCAATTGAAAGGATAAAATCAAATAGTAACATAAATATGTTATTTATGTTACTACAATACTCAGCATATTGCAAAACATTTAAAATTGCAATAGCATTTTATCATGACCCACGTATCATGATAGTATCTTTTTTTTTGTCCTCAACAATAGAGACATAAAATAATTTGTGGTGCCACAAGATAATGATTAACAAATCAATCTCATTGAAAACATTTGAAGTGATTATTCTGATATTGATTATAAAGTGTAGAAACTATTTTTTCATTTTTCTGTGTCTTTGTAAAGCAGCATATTGTGGCTGCTGGATTAAGAATATTAAATGTCATGTAACCAAATGTAAGGTAACAATGGTAACAATGGAGTCAAGGCAGCCAGAGTACAGCCAACAAAAGAGAACAAAAACAATCTCTTTCTCTATCTCTCATGTCACTTGAAGTAGATCAGCATATACACCGATCAGGCATAACATTATGACCACTATGATCTCATCCACAACACCTGTTAGTGGGTGAGATATATTAGGCAGCAAGTGAACATTTTGTCCTCAAAGCAGGAAAAATGGGCAAGCGTAAGGATTTGAGGGAGTTCTGAGCCAAATTGTGATGGCTCGACAACTGGGTCAGAGCATCTCCAAAACTGCAGTACTTCCGGGGTATTCCTGGTCCGCAGTGGTCAGTATCTATCAAAAGAGGTGCAAAGAAAGAACAGTGGTGAACCGGTGACAGGGTCATGGGTGACCAAGGCTCACTGATGCACGTGGGGAGCGAAGGCTGGCCTGTGTGGTCCGATCGAACAGACGAGCTACTGTAACTACAATAGCTGAAGAAGTTAATGCTGTTTCTAATAGAAAGGTGTCAGAATACACAGTGCATTGCAGTTTGTTGGGTATGGGGCTACATAGGCAGACCGGTCAGAGTGCCCATGCTGACCCCTGTCCACCGCTGAAAGTGCCAACAATGGGCATGTGAGCATCAGAAGTGGACCACGAAGCAATGGAAGAAGGTGGCCTGGTCTGATGAATCACGTTTTCTTCTCACGTGGATGGCTGGGTGCGCGTGCGTCGCTTACTTGGGGAACATATGGCACCAGGATGCACTGTGGGAAGAGGGCAAGCCGGCGGAGGCAGTATGATGCTTTGGGCAATGTTCTGTTGGGAAAACTTGGGTCCTGCCATCCATGAGGATGTTACTTTGACACGTACCACCTACCTAGGCATCGTGCAGACCATGTACACCCTTTCATGGACACGGTATCCCTGATGGCAGTGGCCTCTTACAGCAGGATAATGTGCCCTGCCACGAAGCAAAAATTGGTCAGGAATGGTTTAAGGAAAACAACAACGAGTTTGAGGTGTTTCCTTGGCCTCCAAATTCTTCAGATCTCAATCCAATCGAGTATCTGCGGGATGTGCTTGACAAACAAGTCTGATCCATGAAGGCCCCACCGTGCAACTTACAGGACTTAAAGGATCTGCTGCTCACGTCTTCGTGCCAGATACCACAGCACACCTTCAGATGTCTAGTGGAGTCCATGCCTCGACGGGTCAGGGCTGTTTTGGCAGCAAAAGGGGGACCTACACAATATCAGGCAGGTGGTCATAATGTTATGCCTGATCGGTGTATGATGAAGTTGAAGTCATTCCATGACTCTTGCGCATTTTGGGGTTGCAACCACATGACTGAGTGCACTTCTTGTAATTTGCTTTGGATAAAATGTAAATCTAATGTACATGGCAGGACTTTCAAAGCCTATCCATTCTTACCTGACAACACCAAGGCCAGGCCAGCTAAGGTCCTCTATGTATCTGAGTGAGGGTGAGTGTCGGTGGATTTCCTCTCTGAAGTCCTGTCTGAGGCACATCGTGGAGCACATCAAAGGCACCAGCTCTGACAGCTTCTCCACCAGTTCCTCTACGTTCTCCTGCTGGGTCCCCAGAACTGGACAGAACAGAGAAAGTCATGGTCATGCCTTCTTACTGGTGAGGTTTAACCTTGCTGACAGTATTTGACATACATTAAAAATATATTACGCAGACTGTCTTGCTTGTGTGCCTGTGTGTGTGTGTGTGTGTGTGTGTGTGTGTGTGTGTGTGTGTGTGTGTGTGTGCATGTGTGTGTGTGTGTTCAAGTTACCTGCCGCAGTCAGGAGGGGACTGAAGCGAACACATGTACCTTCGTCCTCAAGCTCCACTACATCTACCCCACTGGTGGGAACCAGCTGAACCAGTTGTTCACCCAGCTGCACCCAGGAGATATTGACAAGGAATACATCAACTGTGTGGTCACTGAGAGTTAACTTGTGAGATTACTCCCAACAAAATAGGTGGAATATTTGTGGTTATATGGTCAGCTCTGACTTCTTAAACTTTGGTATAGCACACAAGAGCCCCTTAAAAATTACAAACTTCTCTTAATTTTTTTTAGAGCCAAAACATTAAAACCACTGACGGACGAAGTGAATAACATCTATTATTTTTATTACAATGTAATGTTCTGCTGGGAAACCTTTGGCCCTGGCATTCATGTAGATGCCACTTCATGCGCTCCAGATCACCCAAAAACTGTTGCAGACCAAGTATCCCTCCTCATGGCAACAACACTCTCTGATGGCTATGGCTGTCCAGCCAGGCAATGCCCTGTGCCACACCCCAAAAACTGTTCAGGAATGACCAAAGGAATGTGACAAAGAGCTCAAGGTGTTGACCTGGCCTCCAAATTCCCCATATCCCAATCCGATCGAGCATCTGTGGGATGTGCTGGTACCCCACAGGACTCAAAGGATCCTCTGCCAACGCCCTGGTGCCAGACACCACAGGACATCCCCAGAGGTCCTGTGTCCATGTCTCAACAAGTCAGAGCCAAGTCTGAACCAAGGAGGCCCCACCGTGGTTCGCATGTGTCTCTGCTGTACATGTACCTCGAATACTCAAGCAAGTTGGTATTCGGGGAATTTGGAGGCCAGGTCGATGTCTTGAGCTCTTTGTCATGATCCCCAGGCCACTCCTGAACAGCTTTTGCAGTGTGGCATGGGGCTTGTCCTGCTGTGGAGGGGACACAGCCATTGTGGAGTGCCATTGCTCAGGTGTGTACTTGGTCTGCAATGGTGTTTGGGTGGGTGGAGCGTGTCAAGTGGTATCCACATGAATGCCAGGACCAAAGGTTTCTCAGCAAAACATTGATTTGTAACAAAATGCTCAGTGTAATTCACCTCACCTGTCAGTGGTTTTAATGTTTTGACTGATCGGTGTATAGGCTACGTATTTAAGGAGGAAACACTCACCCATCTGTTGAAGGAATCAAGCACCTCTTTCTCCCCAGCGCAGTAACCTTCCACTGAACCCCCACTGGATGCTATCAAAACAGGAAAAAGAGAAATGCAGACTAGAGTAAGAATACAACAATATACCATGATTACTTCTGTGTATAGTTACATTACTATCCCGCTACTTTCTCATTTATTTCAGAACTTTTATTTCAAGTTTAAAGGTAAACTATGCAGGATTTTCACATTAGACTAATACAGAAGTAATCCCTTTCTATCATCACTTATGACCCACATCATCATCAACCTGTTATTATATGACTTAAGTACCATTGTTGGGTTCTGTGATAATAACAAAGCCGATGATGACAATGAGACTTGGTTGAAAAGTAGTAAGTGGTCCTTTGAGCTACAGATTTTTTTATGGCACAATCCTTTTAAAAAAACAATTAAGTAATTCTAATAATCTCCACTAACACGAAAATAAATAAGATCAGCACAGACATTCTATCCTGTAGTGCATTACTGTTCCATTATTGTTTCCAACTGACAAAGGCTGTATCAATATTAGCTCAGTCATGTTTGTAGGTTCAGGGAGTGTGACTCTTACCAGCACTACTTTCCTGGGAAAACTTGAACAGTACCACAGGAGAGCTGAGTTCATCCTCCACCTGTTGGACACATAGAGCCACAGATGAGCCATCTAAGACTCAGGGATCATTATTATTACACTTAACAAGTGATCTGCTGTATGGCATGCAAAACAATTATCATCAGTTGACAGGGTGCGATGTAAACATGGATTAAAGATTTTGTTTTTCGTCCATGCCTACTGAAACTAACATATGTTTTATCTGTGGTAACTGTAACTATATGTCACACACATTTCTTGTTTGATTTGTCAAACTGGTCATTATGGAAGAGGTGCCCTGAGTCATTGCCTCTCAGTGTTATGGAGCAGCCAAAACCAAAGCTACAGCTCCAGTGTAGAGGATCTGGCTGACTTACTTTTTAGTGCAAACTGATCAATATATGTTGGATTGGGCATTTTAACTACTCCATTATCACTGTAGAATATTTCAAAAGCAAGTCTATGAACCATGCAACCAGGTTACTGATGCAGGCAGTACCTGGACACATCTGTGTTTGAGTAGATCACCTAGGGTTGGTGCGTCCTGTTTAGTATTACTGTACAATTTGTGTCAAATTGTGAGATGCTATTTTATCAGAATAAAATTCAGCAGACAAATGATGTCAGTGAAGTTGCATTTAGTACAATTCCTTACTTTTTGAACCACTAAGACAGGAAATAAACCCAAAGTGAAACCCATTATTGATGACATCCAGGTGAAAGGTTAGGGCAAGCATCATGCCTGGGTGGGACTGAGATGAAGGCTAGTGTGTCTGGGGTGTTGATGTGAGGGTCATGAATAATTCACAAGCGTGTGTGATGTTGTCAAGTTAGAAACCAGAAAAATAACTGTTATATCCATGAGAAGAGCCAAGTGGTAACTGCACAAAGAACAGTTTCAAGACCTCAATATGCTTCAGAGTGCTGTCGTAGTCTGAAACCTCCTCTCTTATGGCAGAATCACACTCAGGCATCGACTAGCCTGGTGTGTGGAGGTGTGAAAGAAGGCAGGATTTGAATTTCTGTTTTTCATTCTTCTTCACACTACTAAACAGTTTCTTTCATATTTGTGTGAAGGTCAAAATGCCTTGGTTGCCTAGGAGGACAGACTGTTTGAAAATGTGTGCCTTTATCCTTTTTGAACAATTGATCACATCGTGTCCCTCTCTATAGCCCCTTGTACACAGCCTGTTCAAGGCAGGAATATGGCGGCATTATGCCACCTCGCCGCTGCGTATAAAAATACAATCATGGATTCGGGGGAAAGAATTGTCTTGCCTTTGAGCTGGCAGTAGAGGTAGTAACAGCACTGAATCAATGTATGTGTGAAAGGGACAGCAGGCAGGACTGAACCATAGGCAGGACGGGGGTAACGTTTGGACGATGTATTATGTTGATAACCCACTCAGAAAAAGAAGAAGGTAGCAGCTAGCACCTAATCTAAAAGCAGGAATGTCCACGAATTCGGAAGACAACAAGTACCAGGAGCTCCTTAACCTCAGAGCAGAGGATGAGATCAACTGTCAAATAACAAGGGCAGTGAAGGATGGCTCGATATTAGAGGGGCTGGCAAGTAAACTTCAAGAGTGGGGCATTGCTCAGGACAAGACGCAGATCATGAGCAAACTGAAGACCAAAATGCACCACCAGGTAAATGACCGTAATAGCAGGAGTAGTAGAGGACATTTGGAATGGCCATATTTCTTATGCCTGGTTCACACTACACAACATATTTGTCCATTCTGACAACTTGTCACTTTGTCACTTTAGGCGATTGTCTTTTTATTGTCATAAAATCATGCCGTGAGTTGGCCGACAAACATGACACACTACATGGTGGTCCACACCAATAATCCCAGATTGTCTTTCAGGACGTGTGTAATGTCATCAGGTTATATTTGTCCTGTTTTTATTACTTTTACTATTATTTCAGTCACTGTGTCTGTTCATGTGTCAGCTGAAATGTTGTTATAGTAATGTAAAAAGTGCCACCAGATGGCGGGAGCTACATTTGAAGTACTGTACGTAAACATACAAGTCACTAAATCCTCCACAACAAGTTCCTGCAAATGTTTCACAATAAAAGCCTATTTAGAAAATGAAGGGATTCTCTCAACCGATGTTATAAGGGGCTTTTAATTTGAAACACATACAGGGAGTGTTGAGTTTGAAATGACAGCGCAATGCATTAACTTCATCAAGGCAAATGGGAGCGGGTAAAAAGTAAAAATATAAAAATACAGAGGGAATGATAAATAACAACCCGTTCATAATGTAGTCTATTTCAAATGAAGCTGGTTCCCCCTGCAGTTGTGGTGAGTAAAAGCCACTATTTTTTTAAATTTTTCTTACTTTATGTCCATCTCCATTATAAAGAAATTACATTCTTTGCTAGCTTGATGCTAAAGTGCCTCTGCTGTTTCACACCATAATTCGTGAACCAAGCATTAGAGACCCACTCAAGCAGCAGCTTCACCATGAAACAGATAAAAAAAACTTTTGTTTGTGGGTAACTTGTCTTTTCATCTATTATTTTATGAGTGTGTTTGCCCTTAAAGTGCTGTGTCGATGACATGGCTTGAGTGCTGCTGTTCTCTTCTGTATCATCATCATCTAAGATGGCACCGCTGATGGTAGCCGCCATTGGGAGAAGTTTGTCTTCGGGGGCTTTTGACCAGAAAGCTAATTCTTGGGTAGGTTTAGGGAAAAGATAATGGTCAGAATTAAAATGAACAGCCCTAAAGACTAACTTTTCCCATGACATGACAGCCTTGGTGCCGCAAATGTAAAAAGTAGTCAAATATTTGTTTATCGTGATCAGCTTTATAGTCGTTACTTTTTAGCTGTATGTTTATTCTGTGTCTGTACATTGAGAGCTACCAAGAACCACAGTCAAAATCATTTATATGCACAAACTAATTCTGATTTCTGATTCTGATTCATTAAAATACCTGCTCCCCCCATAAAAATAAGGAAAACAACAAAAGTCCACACTGTGATGAGAAAAAAATCAAGAACATAATGATGCATTCTTTTCACCCCACCTTTGACTGTGGCCGCTAAGAGGTTAAAAAAGCGTTTGCCTTTGGATGTGGACAGACAATGCATTGCATGACCTTGCACATTTGAATCATACTGAGAGTTTCAAATATCTATTAAGGGCAAACTGTTGGTGAGCTGAGGCACATGCACCAGCTTCAGGGTTTCCTCCTCTCAGTGGTGGACCCCACAGAGCAGTGGACAGAGCCAGTGAAGAGGGCTATGGTTAATTGGAATCAGAAGTATATAACCTTAGGATTATATAAATATATGACCCAGCATTACATATAGCAACAGACTTAGACAGCACCCAAGAGTTAACAACAGGCATGCCTGAAACAGATAACTGAAGGTTAAAGTCCACACCAGAGGCCCATACATACAACTGTACAGTTGGAAACAGCAGGAAGAAGAGACAGAAATTCAGACAAAGAACCGAAGCAAGAAAAGAATAAAGAAAAGATCACCAGATGGGATGCCTCTACTTGTGCTCTGACGGTCATAGCAAACACTATGCCAACAGAAATTTATTGGTCAAACAGAGGTAAAGAAGAGCTCATGGTAATAAAAATCCTAAAACCTATGATAAAAGCAGAGAACATCTTTTTAACCACACCAGAATCAAGACAGTCCCAACACAGTTAAGGTTAGTCTAAGACTAGATACTGGTGAACATTAATGTTATCAAACCAGTATTCAGAAGACCACTATGAATGCCATGGATGCCATGTGCCTGGTCTATTGGTTACCAAAGAAATACACACAACATTCACTGCTGAGAATTAGCTGGACAAACAAAACACAACCCACAGTGCTACAGAGACAACAGAGAATGAGTCACAATCATTATAGCAACATTTAACATTATTTGAATTCAGCTGACAGCCAGTATCAATTGCTCTGGACTTAAAAATTGAAGGAGTCCCTTTTGATTAGAAACATTGCTCCTCCATGTTGACTTACTGGGACACCTGATTAAAAGATGCCTGTCTGTGGAGATATTTCAAGCACTTCCAGGTGAGAGGAGACCCAGAATAGGCTGGACGGACTATACAGCATATTTCAACGACGAGGTGGTTAAGTTATTGAAAGGCACTGATGTGAGAAAAGCCCCAGGTCCTGACGGTATATGTGACCGTACATTGCATCACTGCGCTGAGCAGCTTGGTTGTGTTCTTAAACATATTTTTCAAATGATAGTTGATTCTTTTCAGTATCCCAATACATGGAAAATATCTCATATTGTGCCACTACCGAAGAATAGTAAGCCTAGACAGCCTAATGACTTAAGGCCAATTGCCCTCACTTCATTGATAATGAAAATCCTGGAGAAAATAATTAAGAATGAGATTCTCACAGCTATCGAGGGTAAACTCGACCCTCTACAATTTGCTTACCAGGCTGGAAAGGGTGTTGAGGACGCTAAGATTTTTATTCTTAACGCCTTGTATAAACATCTGGAGAAACCTAATGCCCATGCTAGACTGTTGTTTGGAGATTTCTCCTCCGCTTTTAATCACATGCAACCTTGTCTTTTAATCGAGAGACTGATTTCTGATTTTAAACTACCACATCAACTTGTTTTATTGATTTTAGACTTCTTGACCAACAGACAGCAGAGGGTCATTGTGAATGGTCATTTGTCTGACATTGTTGTAACTAATACCGGTTCACCACAAGGGTGCGTATTGTCACCTCTTCTTTATATCTTATACACTGACAGCTGCAGATCATCTTGTGACAGCAGCTTCCTTGTTAAGTTTTTGGATGATACTGTGTTGTTGTCTCTCTCTCCCTGCATTTGTAGATTGGTGCAAGGACAACTTCCTAGAGTTAAATGCATCCAAAACTAAAGAAATGATGATTGATTTTAGACGTAACAAGAAGGCCTTCACTGAGAGTGTCATAGATGGAGAGAAGATTGAAATTGTCAGCTCCTATAAATATCTAAGCACTGTGTTTGACAACCAGCTTAAATGGGATGTTAACACTGAAGCTCTG